TTGGGAATTTGATAGAGTTTTTGGAGGGGGAGAAAAATGGGGAGATGAACAGGGAGGAGCAAATGGTGAGGCTGATTGAGAAGATGACCCAGGAATTGGAGAATGAGAGGAACAGGAACTTCGAATTGGAGATGGAGTTGGAATTTCTAAGGCTTCAGATTTCTCCTGCATATAATGGAGCTGCAACCGCCATTGATAACTGATCCGTTCCTCCAGCTTTTATGGCATGTAATTTGAAATTATGACATCAATCAACGGGTAATTTATTTTTTTATTTCAACGTGTGCAATTCTATAGCTGAAACTTATTGGAAACGAGTCCTTTATAAGTATTTTAAGTTTTGTTTCATAATTTTTCTCATCACTAGTTTCTGTTTTTGAAATATAAATATTTAAATTTAAATCTCATTTTAATGAAATTTTTTAGGACAACTGCATATAAGGATGAAATTTTGAATATACGACTTTTCATTTAAAAATGTATTTCTAATCACATCTACTTGTTAAAACTTTAAAATTATTTGAATTTAAGATAAAGAGCATGAAAAATGTTATATTGTAGGATAGCTTGGTTAAGCATTTACCACAAAACTAGAGGTTGAAATTTGTTATGGTTGAAATATATATTTATTTGTTTTTTATATACAATTGTGTTTTTGAAAGAGAAAAAGAAATACATGATCAATTTTCGAATTTGGGGAAATATTCAGAACATAAAATAGCCCACTTACCCAACACGCCAGAAAGGACTATCAAGCACAGCGGGCTGTATGAGTGGCCCATGTTGACCATTTTCGGCCCAAATGGTATTTATCCATCTATTTTTTCCCCTATTTTCCTATGTGCAAAATAGCTCTCAAATGTCCTGACTATATACATAAATACTAACCTATATAATAATTTTGTTAAAAAAAACCTATATAATAATTTGACAACATGAATATAGTTCAATTCATTAATTTTCTATAAATATATCTTTAATAAAAAAAGTCAGAAATTTGAATCCCCATCTTGTTCAAGTAAAAAAAACAACCGCATATAATAMTTTCGTCTCAAGAATATAAATTTTCTTTTGTCAATCATGACTTATAAGTCATTTCTAATTCTTTCTCAATTCTGAGTTCTTATAGTATCTATGATAGGATGACATTTTCTAAAAGAATATAGATTTTAAAAACTATTTAAAACAAGATTTTTTTTAGTACAACAAATAGGTATGAAATTTGAACTTATATATATATAGTGTTTACTAGACTTCCTGTAAATTTAAGGTTCGAATATAATATGTCACCTATTATTATTGACATGTAACCCAAAGTTCAAGGACAAGAATAAACATAACCCTAAGAATCAAACTTGTAATTTAACCGTAAAATAATTATCAAAACTATAAATCTAATTTAAGGTATAAGGTTATGTACCTCTCTCTCATCTCATCTGATCACCTTTAATTACATAAAACAGAAAGGGTGATTGAACATAATAATAACAGTGGAGTCCAAAGTCCAAACAAGAGAGAGAGAGAAAGGAGAAGTTGAGTAGCAGAGCATGAAGTGATGACACACAAAACAAAACAACACCAGAACAGTGTTATATAAATTTAAGAGAAGGTATGATAAAAGAGTAACATCATAAACTCACAATGCCATAAATGGGAAAGGCCATTACTCTGGCAGGCCGAGGTTCCCAAAAATAACATCTCCTAACCATAACCATAACCCAACCATTGCCTTCCCTCTTCTTCTTCTTCTTCTTCTTCTTCTTCTTCTTCTTCTTCTTCTTCTTCTTCTTCTTCTTTCCTCTGTCTATTTGTCAGCCTCTTCC